AGAGAGAGAGAGAGAGAGAGAGAGAGAGAGAGAGAGACTGAGACTGCGAGGGAAAGGGAAGGAGAGGGGAAAGCAGGGATGGAAGGACCTATTTGGGAAGTTTGTTGTCTCTGAAACTCTGATTTCTTACTAATTTTGATCAACAGCTTTAGGGACATGGGTAAGTCTAATTCCAATATCATTTTTAGCCTGGCTATTAGGAGCTCCCTGTCCTTTTTATAAATCATGCCTGTCTTTGTTTGAGATCACCTGTTCTGAAGCCACTGACACCAGGACACATGGACATTTGAATGTATGGGTGTCATTACTCAGGGCCTGTTAGGGTATAACAGGGATGGTGTGGGGAATCTCTGTCAGAAGTCCTAGTTCCCAACTTTGCTCAAGAATTCTAGGTCACCAAGTATCCAGAATTGCTGTGTGGCAACCCTGAGAAAATCCATCCTTTCCGGGCACATCTCATAGCCAGTTTGGGGTCCCCATTCCATTTCCACAGGAGAGAGTGAAAGAGCGGAGAGAACGCATCCTGGAGGAGTTCCAGAAGGTGGTCTTGTTTCTGGTGGAAGAAGAGCGGAGGCTCCTCCAGGTCCTGAAGAAGGAGGAAGAGGACACCCTAGGGAAGCTGCAGGAGAGCAAGGCCACCCTGGACCACCAGAGCCGGTCCCTGGACCTGATCCTGTTGCAGCTGGAGGAGCGGAGCCAGCAGGAGCCCCTCCAGATGTTGCAGGTGAGGCCAGAGGATGCTGAGGCATTGTGTCCTTGGTGGGTGTGGGCTGAGGATGTGCACTCAGCCCAGGAGCTGGCAGAACAAATACAGCCTGACAAATACAGGATGAGGCTGGGCTGATATTTGAAGGTCACTTGACCCATCGTATCCCAGCCTCACAGCAAACAGCCCAGCCCACACCATCCACAGTATACACGCGCACGCATGCACACACACACACACACACACACAGAGAGAGAGAGAGAGAGAGAGAGAGAGAGAGAGAGAGAGAGAGAGA